GAACGAAGGAAAAAAGGGATGGCATAACTGTAAAATAAGACAAACCCTAAGGCTAAACTAATACTCAAGAATAGCTAAGATGGCCTGTCTCTGCGGATCACAATAGGCAAAAATGATGCAAACAAAGAGGAACAAAAACAAATAAATTACAAAGAGACCGCACAACTATAACATGCGTCTTTCGGTCTCCTGAGTAAGGCAGAAACCGGAAATGGCATTAGCAAAAAATGAAGGACTACTAAGGCTAATTCTAATGACATAAGGAACTGCCAAAGACTGATGCAAATGGAGTTGCCGAAAAGCCGACAAAACCAACAAATACAAAAGCCATCAAAGTTGCTGAAAATTACGTGATAACCGCTCGACCAAAATGGCACTGTTCATTCTCCAACTCCCGCTTTTATATAGTTATAGTTATAGTTAGATACCCTTTTTCTTGCCTTTGATGATTGACCTTCCATAAAAAATAATCAATTATTTCCTTAATAGGCTATGGAAGGCTATCACTTTGAGTCAATGGAAAGAAAAGAGAACCAAAGAAAGGATTTCTGAATCATTTGTTTGGGTCCTTTGGGAGTTCTTAAAAATTAGAGAAAAGATAACTGAGTTTTTTTTTTTTTTAAATAACTGAAGTATTTTATAACCTTCAAACACCCAGAAGCTTTTCCTCCCAGGAGCAAAAAAGACTGAACGAAAACTCAATTATAAACAGTTTAACACCTTATTTATGCAATAACATCATATTTGTCCTTCATACACAATTCAATTCAAGAAGATGACCATCAAAGTACTAATAGTTGCATGCTTTGGTGTTCAAAATTAATTGCAGATCATTCAGCTACAGGATACTCATCCCTTCATGTGGCCGCCAACATTGACCATTCCCATTTCCAGCCCACGAGGATGTACCAATAATGATAATCGTCCAGTGGTAGACACCCTCATAAAGTTAATGAGTTCGTCCAATCTCATAATGACCTCCATTTGTATCAATAATAATTGTCCCCTTTTTTTTTGGTAAATAATAATGAGTGTGTTTGGACAGCCAATTATTTGGCCAAATATATTTGCTGACATCACCATTACAATTTTCAATACACCTTTTTATCTTCCCAATTACCTTTTTATCTCACATACATCACATCACAAAAAGTGCTACAGTAAAAATATTTCAAATAACTTACAATCCAAACACACTCAATAATTGTCCCGTAGTAGACATTATAGATTACCTTAACAAAAACAACGAAAACCCAAAAAAAAAAAAAAAAAAAAAAACCATCCTCGTACCGGGTCCAGGCTGTAGAGAGAGGGGGGGGGGGGGGAAAGGGGCAGGGGAGTAAAGCTGAATATGACATGAATTCTCCTGAAACAAATAACCCATAATTTTTGGGTCTTGTTATAACTAATTTTGCTTCGTTTCTTTTCTGCGTTATTTTGCATTTCTATACTTCAACTTTATATATATTTTCTACATGCAAATTGGGTAAGATAACTAAACAATTTCTAATCCCGGGTAGACTTCTTGTCGGAAGGCAGAACTGCAAAGGCTTATTTACAGGTTTTTGGGTTGCAAATGGTACTATTTGCCACAGTGTCCTGGCCAACGTCATGAAGAAATCCGAAAACAAACGAATTTAGCTATTTTACACTTTACAGATTGCCTATGACATCGTAGAATGGTGGGCTCAAGAAGATTGTTTTAGTCAATAACATGCTTTTCCCGCTAATTGGCTTCCTTGCAGCTTGGAGAGGTTGTTCTTTACTCTTATTTTTTTTTTTTTTTGCAAATATTTGCTTAAAAACAGAGAGAAAATGGGGGGAAAAATCATATTCGTTTGGACTTGCATTTTATGAGAACTATTTAAAAAATCTGAACTTAACATCCAAAAAAAGGTTGATAAAGCACTCTAGTCGGAATTAATAGAAATGCAACCAAATACGATTTGGGACCAGATATAGCCACGGCTCATGTTTGAACTGGAACCCAACCAGGATTTGCCTAGTAGTTTGTTAAACAGGAATCCAAATTGGTTTTGGAGAATCGAAATTGGGACCAGATCATGACTAAAGGTTACGGTTCAGACTCATCAAAAATAAGAACCAGAACCAAACCTGAAGCTTTTGGTTGCAATATGAATACATACATATATTTGTTGAATAATTTGATGTGTGTCATAATCTTTAACCCATTAATTCCAGAAATAATGGGTTAAAGGTTGCATAATTTGATGTTATACATACATATTCAAATAATTTGTTGATATTATTCTTCTAACCTATTGTATAATAATTTAGCACAATTACAAAGGAATGAGTGTCAAGTTTTTTATACCCATATTTCTTGTTTGATAATAAGTTACTTTTAATGGTGCTTTATTGGAAATAGAGATTCTTTTTAAGATGGTGAAGAAAGTGTCACATTGTTTTATTAAATTTGTGGGTTAGTCAACTAGTGGAACTATTATAGTTTAATAGTGATTTTGACCTGCTTATTTTTTAGTTATTGTTGATTTATTATTGACTTTGATTCCATAAAAAAATAAATAAACAAACAAAGGCTACAAAAGAATTAAATGATATTCAAAGTTACCAAAAAAAATATTACTAGTTTGAGATTTGATCATGATGGAGGTTAGGGACTAATAGTACTATTATTTTGTTGACAAAATATAAGAATAATGAATAAGAAGGGAAATGGGAAAAAAGATGTGTTGTGTAACACATCTTTTGTTTAAGCATAGCAAAATAACAAATAAAGGAGTTTTATTAGCATGTTAAGACTAGTATTGTTATTTTAAATGGGTAAGGGAGGCAGGTGTAATTTTTGAAACACCAATGGTGCTAAGTGAAATTGTTAGAAACTTCAAGAGAGGTTTCAAAAATAACGCCATGCCAAAAAAAAAATACAACTTGCATTTAGTTATTAGAAAATTTAGAACCTGAATTGGACTCCATTTTTTTTTTTCAAAATCTCCAGCTTACACTTTTTCTCTCCTACTTTGTTGGAATTTGGAATCCAAGTTTGGTATACATCTCAATCATAAACGACATCATCACTCTACTAGTCACATTAAAGAAGTATTGCATCTATGACAATAAGCACGACAATAATTTTGACTGTTAGTATAATTTCCTCTAGTATAAACTACACCAACCTTTCCAAATCCAGTTCTTTATATCTGCAATTTGTTGTTTTCTAATTATTGATGTTTCCATTAATTGCACTTTTTATTGAGTGTTGAAGTTTCATTTGCCCTTGTTTGCCCAGTCACAACTGTATGTAAGACTTTTTAGTCTTTCTGTTGTTTAGCATTGAAGTCTTTTCTTAGACTTCTAGTCTCTTTCGTGTTTATCATTTTCTTTTTCGTCCTTATCTGCAATTTGATTTTTGCAATCGGTGTCACGAAGCTAATCTGCCAAGCTTTCTTTGAATGGCACCCAATAATTGTTAAAGAAAAGTCATTTTTTAATAAAATACCATAATTTATTTAAAATTTGCACTAATAACAAACGTTAAATCATCAAATAGAATATCAAAAAACAGATATGAAAAATGGATACTATAGATCTGAAGAACAGATAAAAATTGTGTTGTAAAGCTCCAAATTTAAAAAATAAAATAAAATAAAATAATTGCAACTCCATGAATATTTGTGTATGCTTCCAATTGGCAAATCTGCTGATTAACTATTTCAAATGCAAATATTATAGTGAAATCTGCCAAATAGACCCAAAAAATTGCAGATTTGATAATCAAAACCTAAAAAACTTAGATCTAATGAAAGAAAAATGAAAAAATTACCTAAAACTCTCACCAGGAATTCATATGAGAGAAAAAACTTTCACTAGAAAAGTTTAGAAGAGAAGAAAACTCTTACTGGGTAACCCTAAGAGAGAAGAAACTCTCATTAGGAAATCCTAATAGAAATTTTATTTACACAAATGAAAAGAAATTATAGAGAGGGATTCTCCCATGAGAGGATCAGAAACATCTGATCTCTCTCCCATGGAAGGTTTGAAGAGAACTTTGATAGAGAGTTTTTCTAAAGAGAAAGAAGAGAGAATTAGTTTTTCTATACTGTTAGAATGTTAATTCAAAGTTTATAAACTTGAAGAAAAGTCATTAAAGTGTACTTTTTGACAATTTTGGTGATTTCATTAGTTGGATTTGGAGGTTGTAACACCAAAATTAAGAAGCATACACTTTATTGTCTTCATGATTTAGAAAAATTTTTCATTACTTAAGAAGATATAGTAATGAAAAATATTCTTGAGTGGCATGCAAGAATCACTCAAATGCTGTCACCGTTCAGTTCTTTCCCTGTTGACTGCCTTTGACCCAAATGTAAAATGAGGTGAGGGGCTATCTTCAGTTTTAGTTTCCGTTTGAAATTGCATTCTATGCTTATTTCGGCCTTTTACTCTTACCGAGCGTGGTGCAAATTGTTGTTTTAATCTGGTATTTTCTTGCGAATCAATTTACACAGAACTTTTATGAGGCTAAGATTCTGCACTGATTTTTTTTTCAATTGTTCTGTGCGTGCGCATGTGTGTTTTCTTTCCCTTGAGTAATTAGCATCACTTTTTTAACTAATGTTCTTTCTGTACTGTTCCTTGGACTAAGTAGCATCCACCTCTTTTTGCCTTTCACAACACGAGTAAAGATGAAAGCATCAATTTTATTGGGAATATAATAATTAAGAAACAAGTAGCCTGATCTTTATGATTATTAAACATATACCCTGTACAAATCAGATGCGTAATATGCTGACCTAAATTTGTTATTTCAGGACAGAGCTGTTCAACAAAAGGAAATATGTACGAGGAATAATTGGATATTATCTGTAGTTGGTGCTCTGCGCGTTTTGTTCCTTCGACAAATTAGCATCACCGTTTTAGCTAAGCTGGTATTTGAGCTTGCTGCACATTTGGTCTTGGTATCTTTTTCAATATGAGGCTCAGAAAAAGAAGATAAAAGCATTACAAATTCATGCAAATATCAGTAGAAACTACTTGTCTATATTTATGATGATCAAATGTACATTCTGTATGTATGGATTAGATGAACAATATGCTGGCCTATGGTTATGTTTCTCCGGACATACAAGAACAGAGATGTTCAGTAAAAAGATTAAGGCAGCCGAAGTTTTAGCCTAGCTTATGGAGCTGTACCGGCCAATTGGATGCCACAATGATCAACGACAAAGGAATACAAAACTGCTGAATCTAATACAGTCCCATCTCCCAGCTTTTCTAGTCGGTGTGCATTTTTCCCTCTTTGCTTGACTTGCTGAGAACTATCACACCGAGTACAATAATCGTCGCACCGGCGAACCACTGCAAAAGATATTTTACACTCTTGTCAGTAGTTCAAACAAATTTCTAGTTTCCATAATACAATGTGATAGTCCGATTAGGGGATTTGGCATAGCTAAAGGTCCAAACAACTTGCTTAAGTCTGATGCCCTAATGTTGCAAGCCTCCTCTTAAGTATTTCGAGCACTTTGGGATCCACCTCTCTTTCTTATTTCTGACTAGACTTTTAGAAGCTCAACATGCAAGACAAACTATTAAGTCTAATATTCAACCAACTATACTTTTAGATGAAAGGCAATTCCTGGTTCTTCTTATATTGCAAAAGTTCATTTTGCACTGGCCTACAAGTTTTATCCAAACTTATTAAAGTACAGATGGTGGATGACCATGAAAAACAATACTAAGTTTAGCCATTGGCACGAAAAGATGATCTAAGAGAGTCAAAACTCAACTAATCTACTTCTTTGAGTCCATCACTTCACTGTCTAAGGAGGATAAAGGAAGTGCTGCAATGGCAGCAACTACGTAAAACTGTGGCATGCAGCCATGGATAAGGCTGGATTTGGGGAAACTCTTGCTATCATAATAAGTCGAAGCGTGCAGGTGTCTTGACCTCTGAAAATCATCTTAATTACCTGAAATGGCAGCACCTCTTTGAAGAGGAAGAATCCAGCCAATCCAGAAGAGAGAAAGTTCGTTGCAAAGTTTGTAACGGTAGCTTGGAGAGATGATAGAGCTTTTAGGCTATTTACATAACATCCCCACATTAAAGCATTCAATAGTATGACCAGGCCATACCTAACAAGCTATTATTACAACAAAACACAAGTCAGTTGAGTGCTGATTGATTATAGATAGGTTTTATTTGTACTCCTGCAGCAAAGACATTTAGACATCTCCTGAGAAGAAAAGAGAAACACACTCAGATAACTTGTACACTTTCTTTTATCTCTGTTCCTCATGAACACATGCAGGCAAACAATAGATACTAGAAGATAATCAAGGTTGACTTCTTCCCTGCTAAATTCCATAAGCAGAATTTGGATCTGATTGGATGCACTCTCGGGTATGTATGATAAACAACAACTAATAAGACAAGCAATATTATGAGTTCTAGCTGATCGCTAACACTTTTTTATGAGTTTGAATTTGATCCGGCGTGTATAATGTGTTATGCTGATTACATTTCGATCTTCATATTAGGAGGGAAAATAAGTACTCTTTTGCTCAAGATTATGAGATACTCAAACGAACACTAGTATTCTTTAATGTGACAACTTGCATACATGAGCTGATCCAAGTAGAAAGCAGGGCCTTCAAGGAAGAAATCCCAGCTTGAGGCAACTGAGCATAGAGTAGATAACTTAAGAGGGCTTCTAGAATACACAAACCGGGAGTTCCTCTTATAAACTAATTGAACTAAAACAGTATGCAGCCGAAATGGGATGACCAATTACCCAGATAATATTGACATTTATACAGGGGCTAAAGAGTTAAAACATATTATATGCAACTGAAAAAAACAAATTTTCATTTCTCACTAAAAATCAATAAGACACCTCTTGTCAGGAGACAAATAATTTCAACCTAATCAGATTTGCATTCCAGATCAACATGGAACTAAACAAACACAAATATATGACGAATTTCTTGATAATTAACCAAATTCATGCTATTAACGTTGAATACATATTCTATTATCAACTATTAACGCTTCTTCTAGCTGATATGATACAGTTGATTATTAGAGGATATCTCAAGAATTACCTGGGAAGAAAAGTGCTTGGCAGCAATGGCAGCAAGAGCAGCATTGAATCCAGCTGAAACAGCCCATGCGTACCCTTTCATCTTCTTGAAGCTGTTGTGTTTCTGTCCGTTCTCTACGGAAAGCGAAAGAGGAGGAGATTTTCAACCTGTTGAACTGCTAGACGACGACGTCCTGTACATTTCTCGACATGGGTTGGGCTGATGAAATTCAAGAGATTGTGGGCTAGTGTTAGGGCTGACTATGATCCCGTAGGCTGTGAGATGTGACGGTGAATTTGTAAATAGCAATTGACCCGGTTCCAATCGTACTACTTTCTGTAGCAGCCGACTCGTGCTACTTTTGTTTACTATAACGAGTTTGAGCATGAGTTGAATCTTCTTAAAATTCGAATTGTGACGATTCAAGTGCTAATATTCGTTAATTCAAGCTTAGACAAGTTACTTTAAAACTTGAACATGAGCTCAAATATTCATTCTAACTCGACTTAATTCGTGAACACCCCTATATGCTATTAGAATAATAGTAACTTATCAATGTAATGTACAAATATTATTATAGTTCCTAGTTTGAAGTTTATATCATACAAGATACATGTATTCTAACCGAGAATGTTTTGATCTAGCGATTACAATTGAGATTCTAGAAATTAGAGATATTTAGTTTAAATCCCATTTTTTCCTGAGTTTAAATCCCATTTTTTCCTTTCCGCTTCATAAATTTTACACCTTTTTTACTTAAAAAATATTTTTTTAAAAAAAACCTTGAAATTTATTTCCTCATCGCATCTATAAATTCCTCTATTAACAACGAAAATGGAAATTTATTTTCCAATTCAATTTAGAATTTCTAAATTTAATCTTTTCTGCCGTACCTAAGCTTGACTATGTAGTGTATGAGTTATTAAAAAGAAGCCCAAAGGGAAAAAAAAAAAAAAAAGGAGTTACCAGAAACAAAAGGAAATGCTATAGATCTCAAATTTTAGAATTCTAATATTAATATTTCGCATGGTCACAGAATTGAAGGAATTACATAATCACATATTAATTATGCGGGAGGGAATAAAGAAATTAAATATTATTGATATCTAAAACAATGAAGAATGTCTTTCCCTTAACAACAAAGTCTTGATACGTGGTTCATCGACTTAATAATTGACACTCTTCATTTCATTGTCTTTCCCTTGCACTTTTCTAGCCGTTTCCTAAACATGGCTTTTATTTTCATATTTTTCTATGCAGTTTCCAGGATATTAGATCGATTGAAATTCCTCCGTTCACTTTGTTTTTTGAACTTGCTTTCAAATCGTGTAAATTACACATTAATTCTTCAAATTATTCTTGGAAAGGGTCTGTGTCTTTTCTTTTAAGCCAAAAAAGTATGAAAAGCATTGCTTCATTGGTCAGTAATTGCAAAGTTTCACTAGATCTCCATGCTTTAGTACATTAGTTAACTCCTCAAATTAATATACAAAAGTTGAAGCTAAGGACAGTAGGGTAGGAAATAACCCATCACTTCTTTTTTTTGGCATGTGACAACTCCTCAGTTTAAGAAGATTAACAAGCAAATACATGAACTTGAAAGGAAGATGAGTTGTGTACTTTTTATTGTTCCTGTAAGCTTCCATAGGGCGTGTTTATTACACTACTGATATCATTCTTCGGTATAAGTTCAATGGATAAACAAATTATATTCATTAATAGGTTGAAAATGTCAAATTCTTTTGTAACTATGTGGGGACACTTTGGGTTAATTGGGTATTATCAAATTCAAACCCCACATTAAAAGTTTAAGCAAACCACGCAGGGATTTGGCTTCTTTTCAGTGAATTCTCTCTCCATTTCTTGCAGTGCATATCTGGATGCATGACATATATTTTTATTTATTAAGGAGGGACATGATCATTTTAAATTTGACTAATCCTAACGCTTGTTAATAAAAAAAATGAAGAAATTATTGTGGGCTTAATTCTACTTTGTATCCTTTAATTATATCCCAAGTTTTCATTTTAGTCCTTAAACTTTAAAATAGGACACTTTAGTCCATAAATTTTAAAAATTGTTATTTTTTAGTCCCTAAAATATATTACTTATCCATTTTAATCCCTAAAGTATGAAATTTATTCCAATTTAGTCCCTAAAATATATCTACTTAGGCGTAAAATCTGTCTCACTTCCTTAATGAGTGGAACAAATTTTGTAATTTATAAACTAAAGTGTCTTATTTTTAAATTTAAGGACTAAAGTAAAAATTTAGGTATAGTTGAAATGTGCAAAGTGGAATTAACCCACTATCCTGTTTAATAAATGAGTTTTTTGGGTGTTTACCTAAAATTTTATTGTAACTTACCGGAGAATTTGTAGAAGGGAAAATGGCCAAATTCATCCCTAAACTTTTTTTCTAGTGCTGATTTAGTTCCAAATTTTTATTTCTGGCCAATTTGATACATGAACTTATATTGCGGCTCTAATTAAGGACCTCTACAATTGCACTACCACAGAACATCGATTTAGTTCCTGATAGACCGAACAAACAAGGGTATTATGGTATTTTTGGGTTATCTTCTTCCTCCACCACCAAACTCCATTACCTGCCACCCACCTCTCCCTTGGGACATGAGAAGCGAAGTGCAGTAGTAGTAAAATTTTCTTTTGAAAGACAATTACTCGAGGAAATGATACATCTTGATGACATTTAGGAAATCTAGCAATGAGAAAGATAACTCGAAGTATACTATGAATAACAAATCCCGCAACATTGAGATTGAGAAAGAGTTTAACGAACTAAGGAGAAAAGCCAAATACTTCTAATATTGAACTTGGGTCTTTCAAAATGTTCTTCTGCAGTCACCTTTTTAATTATTTGAATTGCAAGGTCAAGTTTTGGAATAGAAATCCTATCCTATGAAGTGGGTTCGAATGGAAAGCTTTTCTCTCTTCCTTGAATCTAGGAGTTGTTTGCAAAATCTGGTTTTGAAAGCTTTTCTCTCTTCCTTTAATCTGGGCACTTTGACTTTTTATCTGTTGAAATTTTCTTTGATGGAACGAGATCAAGAGATACAGCATTAGCAAGGGAATAGGAGGAGAGAAGTGGACAAAGAGAGAAGGAAATAGTGGGGAGAGTGGTGGTGGTAGAGAGAAGAGTGGTGATGATGGTATGGACGGTGGAGAGGTAGGGTAGGGGAAGAGGAAAGAAATTAAAATAAAAGTTCTAAAAATATCTCAAAAAAGTTTTAATTATTAAAATACCTCAAAAACTAATGATTTTTTTTTCAATTTACTTGGTTTTATTAACATCCATACTTCAAATTCCCAAAATACCTCTATTTAGCTATTCAATTAAAGTTTCGAGTGTTTTACATGGTGGTGCTGCCGCAGAAGTCCTTAATTAGAACTAGAACATCTATTCACGTATCAAATTGGTCAGAAATAAAAATCAGGGACTAAATTAGCACTAGTAAAAAGTTTAGGGACAAATTTGGTCATTTTCCCTTTGTAGAAAAAAATTTTAAGATGCAAATTTTCTTTTCTTTTCTTTTTCTTTCTTTTCCTTTTCCTTTTCTTTCTTTTTCCTTTTCTTTCCTCTCCACTTCTTCTCTCTTACCTCCGTTGTTAGTAGCAGTAGAAGTTTTTTTCTTTTTTCTCTCTCCCTTTCCCTCCCTTCCTCTTCTCCTCCCCTCTTCTATCCCCCTCTCTTCTCCTCCCCTCCCCTATCCCCCTCTCTTCTTCTCTTCCCTAGCATCTCTCTATAGGTTTCTTCCATATATTGCCTACCAAACCGTTAGTTATAAAACTCACAATTCTTACCTTTTTCCCACTGAAACGGCCAATCTTTTAGTTACCAAAATTCTTCTAACCTCTGTTTTCAATATTTGGGTTGGTCATCCTAAATCAGCCCACATTTTTTTCTCTGAATCGACACAATTTTGTTGAGAATAAATTTGATGTCTATTAAGAGGAACCAGGCAAAACATCAACAAAGTGCAAGTTTGGAGTAGCAGTTTTAGTACAATCTATCAAATTATATTTTTCCGTAATCCAATAACTTTTTTTATGCTGAATAATATGAACAATTGGGTTGTCGGCAGTGATGATTAATTTCATCATCATCAACAGCAGTAGCATATGTGAATGATAGAAGAAAGGAGACATCTACCTTGCTTAGCATATTTGAGTGATAGAAGGTTATAATTTAATGGCCATGACTGAAATATGGCCACAATATATGGCTTGGTCAAGAAGAATTGTTTTCTTTTTTTCTGTTATCTTTTCCCTTTTTATCAATGGCTTGTTTTTTGAAAATTTATGAAGGTTATTATAGTCATTGTCTATCATTAAGGGAGATAAATGTAATATTAAAAATTTCAAGAGAGCTCAATGACGAAATTGTTAGAAACCTCAGGGGAGATTTCTGAAATTATCCCTTAATTTTTTGCCCACCTCATTTTCCTTTTTCACTAACTAACAATATTGAAAAGAAAATCAACATGGGTTTGTGTCAGGTGTTATCTACTAAAATTTTTGTTATAAACAAATGAAAACCCGTGCTTCATGGATCAAATTGACTAAAATGGAAATGCACCTAGAAGTTGGAAAAGAAAAAAGAGTGTTTATTAACGTCCATTGTGGAGAAAAATAAGGGCTTAAGTCGAGAAGTTGGTTGAATATTGTAATATTCGTGGAGAGCTAACACGATTTTACATGGTATTTTAAAAGATACTAACATTGAACTTGTCATCTTATAAGATTAAGTCCCCAAAAGGAGAGACTTTTAACAAAAATATTTTTAAAAGGTGATATTTGATGAGCATGGGATATGCATATAAAAATTAACTCAATCTATACGGTCAAGTTTTATATTTATAAATTTTTAAATACCCACACATGATTTTTTTCAAATACACATGTCGAAATTGAGTATAGGGTATTAAGGGTTGTACCCATAGGGAAGACTGGATGTAAAACTAAGGTAAAATATGCAAGAAAATGGCAAATAAAAACTCCTTAGACTATGATATCCCTAAATACTCATGCAAATGCAATTTTTGGATCATTAAGTACTACTATCTTAACTAGTTATGACATAATTTTCTTATGCATGTGAAACCTGCTGATAGAGCGTAATTTGTTATTAATTTTGTGGTTAATTTTCCTCTTTATCCTTGTCAAATATTATTTTAATTGTTGAAGTATACTTATATTTGGTA